GCAGTATTATAATTAATCCAATTATTCACGGAGAGCACTAGACCCTTCTAGCTGGTTACATAAAGCAGAAAAGGTGGGAATTTTACGACTCTGTGCCCAACCCTATGCATAGAAGTATTGTTGTGCAGATAGTGAGTTTGATTCTAATCTTGAATTGTTTATAAATTTCGTGATTATTTTTAAGTGACTAAATTCTATTCCATATATTGTTCAGATTGCAAGCTTAAATAAGGATTGCAAAAAAGCCTTTCGTCAAAATATCACTAAATGGAGTTTCAAGACAATGAAGAAGGCGCCAACTCAGACCAACAATACAGATTGTGGTATGTTCGTTTGCAAATACATGAAGAATATTGTTCGACAAAACAATTCTAACTGGCAAGAGAGAACGGATTGGCAAGAAAAAATGCCAAAATATAGAGCAAAATTTGCATACGGATTATTTTGTGCTGCAATGAAATGAACTTTTCATATTTTAAATTTATGTACATAACTGGCATTTTTTCCTTGTAATTAAGAATGATTTCATGTGATTTTAGCATCGTTTTAAAATGATTTGAGAAAGAATTCCTCAATAAAGGAGTGTTGAATATAATGTTTCTCACCATTGAACATTCATTTAAATCGATTAAGAAATTTTTATTGAGGTATTGAAGGTACGTACTCTATACGCCTACCATACGCGTGTTAGACGCAGCTCATACGCCGTATATACGCGGAAGACAGTTCTTTGTTTTTTGATTAAAAAATCAAATTAATTCGAATGCATCTCCTCGTCAATAAAACAAGCAAGGAGCGTCGAATATAGGGTTTCCCACAATTGATCCTTATTTCAAATCGATTAAGAAGATTTTCATTTAGGTATTCAAAGTACGCACTCTATACGCATTACGTACGCTTATTAGACGCATCGAATACGTAGTCCATACGCATTAGACAGTTCTTGGTTTTTTGATTAAAAAATCAAATTAATTCGAATTTAAATGATTCGATGCATTCCTTCGGTATGAATCATTCAAATACTCATTTTAGCATTGTCTTAAAATGATTTAAAATAATTCCTCAATGAGACTTGGTGTATGTGTACACCCTTGTGCCTTACACAAGTGATGGTTCTAGAGTGTGGGTGTTATGCTCCTATGGTGGAGCATTCATTAGAGTATGTGGAGGAGAGTAAAATTAACTCGAATTCATCTCCTCGTCAATAAAACAAGCAAGGAGCGTCCAATACAGGGTTTCCCACAATTGATCCTTATTTCAAATCGATTAAAAAGATTTTCATTTAGGTATTTAAAGCACGCACTCTATACGCATTACGTACGCGTATTAGACGCATCGAATACGCACTCCATACGCATTAGACAGTTCTTGGTTTTTTGATTAAAAAATCAAATTAATTCGAATTTAAATAATTCGATGCATTCGTTCGGTATGAATCATTCAAATACTCATTTTAGCATCGTTTTAAAATGATTTAAAAGAATTCATCAATGAGACTTGGTGTATGTGTACACCCTTGTGCCTTACACAAGTGATGGTTCTAGAGTGTGGGTGTTATGCTCCTATGGTGGAGCATTCATTAGAGTATGTGGAGAAGAGTAAAATTAACTCGAATTCATCTCCTCGTCAATAAAACAAGCAAGGAGCTTCCAATATAGAGTTTCCCACCATTGATCCTTATTTCAAATCGATTAAGAATATTTTCATTTAGGTATTCAAAGTACGCACTCTATACGCATTATTTACGTACTATTTACGCAAACTATACACCCTTAGAGATCACAACTCCTTTCGCTTCCTACTGAAGCAGGTAGAGAACCTCGATCAATTGCTGAAGTAGATCTCTCTTGAACCTCCAAGGAACTAGGGATGACGATCGAACAAGACAACTCAAATTCTTGCTTAGAGCAACCTTTATGAAACCCTTCACGCACTATATACGCATTATTTACGTACTATTTCCAATATAGGGTTTCCCACCATTGTTAGTGTACACCCTTGTTTTTCTTCATTGAACCTTCATTCCATTCGATTAGGAATGTTTACATGGGTATGGGTATAGTACACACTATTTACGTAAACTATACGCGTTAAGGACGCAGATCATACGC